TGTCCGATATAAAGCACTGCGAAATAAAGCTGTAGCGTCGTGAAATTAATAGGCGATGAAATATAATAGTGCCGGATGGCCTGGAAACAACTATTTATTTCCAAAGAAAAATGTGTGAAAATTTAACATATGTGGAAAAATTAAATAATATTAGAATGCAAGCTAAATGGTACTCACCGCAGTTTGCGCCCTTCTTCTTCTATGTTCACGACACTACTGAATTTTGAATTCGAGAGCGCAGCGAATAGACAAAGGGAAGGTTGCAAATAGCGATGAGCTTACAGCGATTATGATAAACGAAAATAGGGATGGGCGTTTTGTTACANGTTTTGTTACATTTATTAATTTAAATCAGCATCCCTGCAAAAAAAATGTGTATGCATTAAATGCTCCGGTAAAAATTTGGTATTTTTTCAAGAAAAAACGCGATATTTCTTCGATTTTGGTGCTTTTTCAAATACAAAACTTGGCAACACTGGTGGTTCGGTCTCGCGGACTGGTCAAATTTCAACCGATTGGTTATGCGGTTTAGTTCTCGCTCGCTTTCAATTTTACGTTTCACTGATCTGGCAATGTGGTCTCGCACCGCTAATTTGTTGCAATCTCAAAAAAAAAAAAATAATTTTCTTGTGCAGTGAAAGCAACAACAATTGGTGACCAGGGATCATATGATTGTCTGCTAACAGCGCCCTAACAACAAATGTTCAGTTATTGAAAAGCCGAAAAGATAAATTAAAATGCCTTTAGAGTGGAGTCGCGAAAATAGCAAAAAATTAATAAATTTGTTAGTACAGCAAGAATGCCTGTGGGACGTAAGTAGTCCTACCTACCATGACCGCGTAAAGAGGGAAAATGCATTTAAATCAATTCTAAACAAAATGAAGCAGAATTTGGATAATATAAGGATTTCGGACATCAAAAATAAGATACTAAGCTTAAGATCTCAGTATAGAAAAGAATTGCGGGCTATAAATGCTAGCCGGCGGAGTGGAGTTGGAAATGAAGACATTAGGCATCCAAAATTATGGTGCTTTGATGAGTTGGATTTTCTGCGTCCTTCAATTTATATAAGGCAAAGCACTTACAATATTCCTAAAAGAAAAACACCTGTGAGTAAAGAATTGAATACACTGCCAAATTCAAACGAAATATTTATTTCATTACTAGGAAACCCATAAAAAAACTTATGAAAGCAATGAGGAGGATGACGAAAGTTTTTCGGTGAGTGGATGACAAACAATAGTTGCGTTCCTTATCTCCCGGAATTAGTCAGATCAAGGTGTATTAAACATAAATAAATACGCCGTTAAATACGCCTTGAGTCAGATAAAGTCCGAAGTAGTCAGATTTAGTCCAAAAAGCGTTCCATAACTCGAAAATGACAGCAAAAATGAGAGAGCAATACCCAATGAGAATGACTCTCTTCAGTCCGAAGTAGTCAGATTTAGTCCAAAAAGCGTTCCATAACTCGAAAATGACAGCAAAAATGAGAGAGCAATACCCAATGAGAATGACTCTCTTCAGTCCGAAGTAGTCAGATTTAAGGCCGGTCCACATAAAACTTTCGCGCTGGCTTTGGCGTTGGCTTTGGTTTGACAGAACGCACGTTAAGGGCCGGTTGTTCAATGTCTGGTTATCACTACTTGCCGGTTAAACATCATTATCGACGTTTTCGACATCATGCATATAACATGTGATCGATAAAGCAGTCGTTGTATATAACCAGAGCTTCTACCTCCGATTAGTGCTAATCATACATTGAACAACCGGCCCTAAAAGTATGCTTGCTACAATGAACGCTTGGCAGCGAATCCTTGGGCCACTAAATTGACATATTAACGACAGATAAATTAATATTTCATATCAATAATTGCATTAAAAACGATATTTCCGAAAAGTTGAGAGTTAGCCATCTTTTTGCTTTGTGTTGTCGTGAGCGTTGTCGAATTTTGAATTCATGTATTCATGTATTTTTGTAAAATTCGGAAATTAGCGTACATTTATCACTCCTATTCTCCTTAAAGCAGCCACTTCAACCAATACATTTTTGTATTCCCATTCACTTTATACTTTACTCTTCAAGTCATTCAAATCGTTTATACCATGCATAGTTGCGTTGCAACAGCAGTACGAATAGCAGGAATTTACAGGAAGTTGTTTAGTAAAGTTTGCAACGATGAAGTTCGTAGTACTCCGCTCTCATTGGTCCTACCA